AAGACTTATGAGATTCCAATTAAAAGCCAAATAGTGAAATTTAGCGAAAATATAAAATTTTAAATAAGTAAAATTTTATTATTAAAAGTTGTAAATAATCTTGTTACAAACTTGTAGGAGAAAACCTCGTCGAAATCCGAATTATAACGAAGAAGTTTTGACCAATCGAAGATCCGCGATAAAACCGACGTGGCGTCGAATGACATAAAAATTGAGTTTTTTGATAAACTACTTTTTAGCCTTATTGACTTAAATGAAAATCGTAATATTCGTTTAACCGAGAAGTTCGATAAAAAGAACACCAAAATCTGACTTCATATGAGGATGTTATGATTTTTCTAAGTTTCAGATTAGAAGTAGACAGCTAAAAACTCGAATTTTAGATCGAGCGATATTTGCCCGATACATCCTAAACGAGAATCAAAGGTCTCGTCATTTTTAGTACAACGGTAAAAATTCTGATGAAAACGGATGTCGGATGAATAAGTTATGAATTTTTAACGGATTTTCCTGTCCAAGTCTGTTAAAAATAATAATACTAAAAATAAAGTCAAAATTAGCCGACGAAGTCCGAACAAAAGTTGTAGAGCATAATTTTAGCTACACGTGCATATAAAGAATGTCAAAAACGAAGATCGTATGCGAAAGTTATGGATTTTAGAAGTTCGGGGCTCAAACTCGAAAAATCTTGCATGAGTGGTCCGGATTCGGCCACGTCCTTCGCAAGAAGTAGCTGCATCATCCGAGTCGTGGCGCATCTGAGGAGCGATGCGTGTCGCACACATGTCCAAGCCTTGCTTCACCACTGCTGCCCCCTCTCGCATGCGAGCCATCTGCCTTCGCATCCTGTTGAAACATGTCCCTTCTGCCAGCGCATCGTCCGAGCTTCGACTCTATAAAAGGGAGGTTGCGAATCTTCCCGGGTAACTTTGAATTTTTGCCACTTTTCACCCCTTTTCCATATTTTCTTCATTTTGGCTTTCCCCGAAGCCCCACTATCAATTTTAGCACCCGAAACACGTCCCGAGAAGCTCCCGAGAAGCCCAATGTAAAATATTGCTTTTATGAATATGCAAGTAGCATGTTTTGGGGTAGTAATATTCTGAAGTAGGAATGTTTGGATCTTTCAAAAATACGAAAGTTTGGGTCTTTCATGATGATTATTATCATATAAGCATAACATTTATGCTCCCACCAGCTTGGACATGTATTCAGAAAACAGTTGAACTTCCAGAAAATAATAGCTATTTAATTTCTGAAGTTCATATTACTAATATCAGATGCTTCAATAAGCCTTTATCTAAGCTTCTTAAACTTATACACCTTTGCCCTAGATAGCTCATATGTGTGTCTTAACTAATTCAGAACTTATATCAATAAGACCCCAAATGTTAAACTAATTGCCAAATCTCACAATTCGAACTATGGAAAGGGATGCCATAACCATAATCCAATTTGAGAATACAATTTTCACAATTGCTATCTTCTTAAAATCTCTCTTAGTGAAAGCATTTCCTCGCAGTCATTTTCATGAAGGAGGGAATCTTATGACACTTAGATTTTATGGTGTATGTGCTCCTATCCATGTGAATTTGCCAAAACCAAGTTTGCGACAAATCCAAACTCATATGGATTGAACTTTCTTGATTTCTAGCCTTATGGTAACACGGGTGCCCACCATGTCTTCTAAGTAGTTTAGCACCTTATCCTTACATATAAATGTAGTTTCCATCGATCAAGGAGCTTTGTGTTTATGCATTCAAATGGGAACTCATAGAACTCACATACATAATTAACTCAATTCGAGTGGCACAGAAACAAAATAATGTCAACACGATAGGTTGTAAACCTCAAGTCGTGTGCTAGTGATGATCGATAACGTATATTCTTGATTTGTTCTTGAAAACTTTTTCAAGAATCATTAAAACTCCCACTAACCTCATGACATATATGATTCTGTTGTCAGGAAACTTTCCTAGACAAATAAAATATTCAAGAGTTAGCGTAGTTCTTATCAAGACAAAACACTTCACATAATTGGTCCTATTTGGTCTTTGTCTTATCCAAGATAGCACAACTTACCAATTTCAAATGTGCAAGAGTAAGAAATTTTTTCTAAATTCCACATTTGTTGAATGTTATAAACCTACTAAAGACGTGTCACTGAATTCGCAATCCTGGAGTATGACTCTAAGATTCGATATTGGAATGAAGTATGATTGACTTCTTGATTTAACCATTTCCACAATTCTCGATTCCTCTTCTCAGGCATACAGATGCATTAACACAAACTTAGAGGATCAATTGAGATATGGTTCTTAATCATTAAGACTTTAACATAAAACAAAATCAAAGATACTCTCCCTTTTTCATAGAACATAGAAACTTTTATCTTTCTGCCTTCTTGATTCTTCTTATTCGTTTTGCCATTCATTGAAACTCTTCCAGTCAACTAAGAATTACACTTATTCTTATAAGTACAATCATATTTACTTAACTTTTAGTAAATGATGAAGAATATCTTTATCACTCTTTTGGTGGACTTGATCAACGCACAACCTAGTGTACTAGATTTCCTAGTCTTTCACTTGACACTTTGTCAAAGAGTTAGCCTAATTTCAGAATATAAAGTTTTTCATTCGTCACACAACCAAGTTGTATGATTCCAAGTTTCTGTCCAATTGAAATTTTGGTGATGAGAAACTCTCCCTATTTGGTAAATTCTCGCCATTTCCACAGATAACCTAATTAAGAATCAAATCCATTTTGCTAATAATAAAAATACACAAACATCAATTTTTCATACACACCATTGTAAGGATAAATAAATAAGATAAAACTCAAAATTTTATTTTATTGCGGAAAAACTTTTCCTTACAATGCAATGCAACTGAAAACTATGATATTACATATTTCTTAGCAATCTACCCTAACTCTAAAGTAGTAGCTCAAAAATCTGATCTTTGAATCCATGCGATCGAAATCCATTTCTTCGTGATCATATTCAACACACTTCTTCCTTAAGCTTCCTTTATTTTCTTCGATCCTCCAAAAAACATCAAAATGTAATTTTATCACATCATACATTAAGAATCAAAAATATGAACTTATAGAGTTAATGGATTTTACCTGAAGTAGAGCCATAGGTCTTCACTCTCCTATCTCTTAGAGTTCGTCTCCATTGCCCCTTCTCCTGACAAAAAAAGCAAATGGAATCCCTTGGCACATTACATAGGACAATCTCATGCTCAGTCCTTTCTGGACTTTCAATGTTCTCAGTGTCCAATAAAGTATGGGAGTTTGATTGACCAATCAAGTTTGCTTGACCATTGAGCTAAATCATCGCAGATTTAGCAGCAATAATCAAATAGGTCAAATCAATGAGGGTCACGTCGTGAACCATCATATAGTACTCTCTTACAAACTCACTATACGAATCAGGAAGTGAATGGAGAACCCAGTTAACAGCCAACATCTCTAAGATATCAACACCCAACATCCTTAACCTATCAATGTGTGACTTCTTCTCTAAGACGTGTGGACACACAGGTTTCCCATCTTCGTGTTTACATGCCAAAAGGTCTTGAGTGAGCTTGAATTTTTCAAGCCTTTGAACTTGCGGGTTAGGGAGAACAATCGGAGGAGGTCGAGGAAGTGAAGCATGACTTTCATTTCATTGATCGTATCTTGGAACGTCATCTTCATTTGGAAAGCTTGTTCCAAAGGATTTGGGAAGACCATTGTAAGATTCAGACATCTACAAAATGGGAGAAAATTCAGTTTAAGTTGATTGAGTCCTTAATAAAACACCTAAATGAGTTATTAAGGCTAGGATCCAACACAGTACTCTACAAACTAGAAGAGGGATGTCGTAATCTAGTCACAGAATATTTAAATGTAGGTAAATGAAGATTTACAATTTCCACCATGAAAAACGAAAAGGAAATTTAAGTTTTAAATGAATTGAAACTCCTAGATCTTTTGAAATTCATTGAACTTTTCAATGGCATGTTTAATATTGATTATTCCCTTCAAGTTTGTGACTGGGATGTCGAGGATCACAAACAACGTGTGAATAACCATGCGAATCACGTGGTGCACTCAATGCTACTATCACCTAATCAATGTGTCGATTAGACACACACGCTCCATTGATCTATGACAAACATCAAGCCACCCTTCGCCACCAATTCCAAACCCTAATTAGTGTGCCGGTCAACCACATACGCTCCACTAACATCTTGGCAAGGGTACAAAGTTTCATTCCATGGATTAGCATACAATTTCATATTTTGCCTAAAGTAACTATGATTTGACAATTTGAAAAAACATGTAGTTACTTTGTACTTCATTAAACTTATAATGGAAGGTTTCTGTCCTATCCTCCCCGTTTGGCTAACGAACCTACACTAGTCAAGAGTGCGGTGGGTAAGAGTGGATACCAATTCAATCGCCATTTTATAGGCAATTTCCTTAAACACCCCTTACAGACAAGCTTCGTGAATGAGGCCTAAAAGAACCTTTTACAACGCTTATTTTGTGTCGTAAATGGCTCAGAGGACACGCAAATGTGCATCAAGTAAGGCCATGTCATAAAGAGAGACGACGCGCTTTTGCGTGTCGTCTATAGACGACGCACATTTACGATGCACAGTTACGACGCGCCTTTACGACACGTAATGCGTATCAAGGAAGGCCCTGTCATAAAGGAAGACAACACCCATTCGCGTGTCGTAACCTTACGACGCGCGTGTTAATGACACGCAATGCGTATCAAGAAAGCCCCTGTCAAGAAAGGCCATGTCATAAATGAAGATGACACACATTTTTCCGTATCATAATTTTAAATGTTTAAAAAAATATATATTTTTTTTTATAGATTTACTAATTTTCAGATTAAATTTGCATTTAATGCATCATAATAGAAAATAAAATATCATATACAAAAAATATAATCCATTTCATAAAATTTAATGTCATACAAAAATAGAATCCATTGCCTAATATGTTATTACAAATTTGACATTTTTTTTGTTTTCGTACTTTGACAATTGTGCTGCTGCTGATTCCGCAGCCAATCCGTGACTGCATTCCAGAGCTGATTCAGTGGAAAGAGCATCCCAGACTCCATCACTTGAAATTACAAGCCGCCCAAAAGTAGAAGATAGCTAAAGATCATGAATAAATAAAAGTTTTTAATAAAAAGAGGAATACATTGAGTTTAATTACTAAACACCAACATTCAAACCAATTAATGAAAGTTAAAGCATCTAAATAATATAGCATGGGATGCAAATATATCATGCATCATACAAACAATGAAGATTTTTAGTTTCTGGAAGATTATTGACATTATTGGGATTAAGAGTTTTATTTGCTTATCCACTGCACCTCATATGTTTCCATCACATTTGAAGGATTATAATGCTACATAGTTCTATTAAAGATGCTGCAATATCTCTCTATTGTTATGCATGAAATCAAGACATATGATCTTCTAATACTAGAAAACAAGAGCTATTCAGAATAATAAAGCTACATACCTGAGTTTGCAAGAGGTATCGCAAGGTGCTGCCGACTCAAAATCAAGCAGCCTTAGGCACTTATCAAGGACTGAACTGAGGATGCACATCTTATAGAAAAAAGATAAAAGTATAATTACAAGGATTAATAAAAGCTATTCGGAATAATAAAAAAAAAGTCAAACCTTTAGTGCTTTCCAAGTGGTTAATTTGAGACCTGCAATTTTTTGCATCCATTGTTGTCATGACCTTCATACATGGGGCCCAATGCAGAAACAACATCGTGTGGACGAAGGGAATTGGAGAGTTGACTAGTCAAACAATCATCCATGAGTTTTTTTCACTAAGCCTACCTCTTTGCTGCATTGATTTAGATTGGAAGTTGATGAGGTGAACAAAGTTATGGTAAAGATTTGAGATTAAAATAGAAAACCTGGGAAGAATTTATCACATGTGGAAAGGTCTCAAAGAACCATTCAAATCTAAACTTTCAGATGCATATATAAACTTTAAGTTACAAAAAGGGTCCATGTGCTTTCTGATTTTACAATGTTTAGTCTAAATTTGACAACTTTTTCAACTTCAGTCCTTATATTTCAAGCTCTCATATTAATTTTGGTTCTTAAAACCTTGAAATAAGGACCAAAATCGATATGAAAACTTGAGATAAGGACCGAAACTGAAAAAAATTAATTTTGGACTAAACGTAGTCAAAACAAGAGGCATAGGGACCATTTTTTTAATTTACAATAAAATCAAATTACTGGTTACCTTTGGGAGATATATGCGAAGATGATTGAGCAAGGATATGTATTTAGGGATTCTAGCTTCTAATTTTGAGGCAAATGATCTTGGAGTAACTCTATCACCAACATTAGTGCCTGATATATGATTTCCATGATAGTAATTACGAAGTCCATTATGATTTTCAACGGCTTCAAGAACAGGAACATTGTCTCGGGTCAACCAGTCAAACTGATGAACACCTTTGACTTCAATAATGGCAGGTGAGATGGGGTTTAAGGCAAACCATGAGTGCATGCCTGCGTATGTTTTCTTATTAGTGATGACATGGAAAACAATCTTCTCAGGTGTTAGAGATGATTGGACTGTAGAAGTGACCACAACAGTAGCTGCCAAGATGTTGTCAGTTGAAAGGATAAAATGGTAATATGAGTTGTCAGAAAGAACAGGGAAATACTCCGGTGAGGGCAACTAGTAGCGTGCACAGGCATTAGATGAGTATTCATCGGTTAATCTCAAAGAGGGACAATGGATGCCTTTTGGAACTGAACTAGCTGCAAAATGTTTGTTCATTAGTTCTTGGAGTTTAGATTCTCTAATCTCCCTCTCAAATCTCTCCATCTGTCAAATTTATTTAGAAAAGGTGTTAAAAAATAATGGTGAATCTTATTCAATTCAAAAATATGTCAATATTGTCAACAGCCAAAATACAAACACATGTGATAAGCATCTACACAAAAAACAATCAAAATTACAACTTGAAGAAATTTTATTTTAGAGAAACAGAAAAATGAAATATCAAAATTACCAATGCAACCCTGTATGATGATACAAATTCCCTAAGAGAATAAGCCCCTTCTTCCTGATACCAAGATCCATCTCTGCATCTTATGGATGATTTTTGTCAGATAATGATCATTTATTGGAAAAATTACATAATAGAAGAAAGATTATGAAGATATCAGATATAGATCTATATCTGATATCTTCTTAATCTTTCTTCTATTATGTAATTTTTCCAATAAATGATCATTATTTGAAAAAAAATCTTTAATAATGCTGCAATAGAAATACAATACAATATATATTATAATAAAATATATATTATAATAAAATATATGTTTCAAAATTGAAATACGGAATACCTTCAATAATTCTTGTCTGGTTGATTCCCTCTCCAGGTCTCTTTTCCGTTTTGCTTCTGCAGTAGCTTCCTCCTCCACTCGCCTCCGAGCATCTTCAGCTATCTTGGCTTCTGCTTGCATTCGTGCTTTTTCTAAAACCACAACATTTATGTTTTTGTATTACTAAAGAAAGAAAAACTTAAATTTATCAACAACCATCTAAAAAGAAAAATATAAATAACCATCAAACTTATGTAGGAACCTGCTGCTACTTCACTCTAACCTCTCCTTTGTCACCTTCATTTTTAGGTACTTTTCTGTTGGAATTTGTATAGACTGCCTCCTGAGTTGCTTTGGGGTTGTTGTATGTCCATCATATGAAAATCTTGGATAAATTTTAGAAAACCCTTACCAGAGAAATTGTGCAGAAACTAAGTTCTTGATCAGCAGGTGAAACAACTTCCAACTTAGAAGACATAAATACCCTTGTTTTCAAATAACCTGAAATAAAATCCTCTGATAATCCCGATCCAGCATTCCCAATCTGCTCGCCTAATGCAAGAAGCTCCTGCATATACACAAAAGGTCATTTTCATAATTTGACTAAAAAAGAAACCAATCTTTGTATACCTCATAAGACATATGATCGATATCCATACGCATATCTCTATGATGATCAACTCTTCGTCCATAATTAGAAAAATCAAGCATTGCAACACCCTGTTATTAGAAACAAATAGATTAATAAAAGGAATTTCATTTTCTTGCATGATTTGATTATGAAGAGAGTAATATTTAATAATAATAATAATAATAATACATCTTCAAGAAGAAATCTTCAATGTGGAAAGCCACGTGGTCTTTCCAAGCTCGGTTAAAAGAGGGGTTTATGTAGAAGCTAGGGTTTATAAAAATCCACAGTTCCATTGGAGGAAAAATGTTAGAGCATCAATATTTTCTTCTGATGTGGGCATTTCATCATTATATATATGCTTTACAAATATTGATCTTCTAATTAGCACATGATGTACGTAAAATTAGTTTTCTTAAAATAACAAACAAGAAGGAAGAAGAAGTATAATAAAAAGAAAGAGAATAGAGAGAAGGAAAAGACAAAAAGAAGAACATACCTTGGAGAAGTCATTTCTTTTCCTACTGTAGAAAAAACTCTAAAGTGTGATATCAAATTCAGAAAATTCCATTGAAAATTCTTGGAAGAGAGACTGATGATGGGATGCGTTGTTAGTGGTGTGGACATGGAGGTTATTACCGGTGGTGAAAGTTTTTATGTAGGGATCGATTTTGATGCAGAAAGTGTTAGGGAAGCTGGGATATCAATGCTAATATATCGATGATGGTGGGGAAGCCGGAAAATGAAGGTGAATCGTCCACCCATGCTCTGGTTCATTTTGCTTTTGTGAGAACCTGAATGAAAAGCCCTAGAATTAGGGAGGATGTATTTGAAGAGGGAGATATGAGAGAACACAGATGAGCCGAGGTCAGAGTTGAGTTGAGGTAGATTGGGTAGTGGTGGAGGCGGATTAGGATTTACAGAGAAAAGCAGAAGGCGAGAGAGAAGGTTGTCGGCTGGTGGTGTCTTACAGTATGATAATAATAATAAAAA